AAAATTTCTTATAAGCTCGCGGAAGATTGGATGTGCAGTAAGTGGTGGAATAGGAGTTGTTTGAAGGAATTTTTGGATGTAGTTTGACGTACGGAGATAGGTGAGGAGTTCCAAAGTATTAAGAGAGTGGATGGAGGAATGTAGAGTAAGGAGTTCTAGGATGTAGGTAGGATTTTTGGTTCTGAGGACTTGGAAAAGGAAAATACCAAGAAGGAACTGCCATCGAAAAGCATGATAGAGCCACTTCAACTCAGTGTACAAGCTGGAAACATGGGAATGCCTGGGAATCCCAAAGGTAAATCTTATGAAGCAATTCATAAGTCTCTTCAGTCCCTTCTCCAATCTTGTGGACAGTCTTCCATACACCAAGCAACCGTAGTCGAAGTGGGGGCAAAAAAGGAATGTTACAAGTAGCTGTCTGTTTTTTCTGGAATAAAATCACGGAATTGTAGTAATTGTTTAAGAACTGTTGTGGGTTTACAGGTAATCTGGGAAATGTTGTTATTTCAAGAGAGGTTCTGATCAAAAAATACTCCGAGGTTTTTGACTGTTGGAAAGAAATGGAGGGGACGGTTATTGAGGTAAAGTAGAGGAGTGAAAGGAAGGGAACTAATGAGATCCCTAGAACCAGTGAGGATAGCCTTGGTTTTATCTGCATTCAGCTTCAGTTAATTTTTTTCTGCCCACCTGTGGATACAGTTAATATCCTCTAGCAGTTTTCAGGTAGCCTCAGGCATCTCAGAAAGTTAGAACGATAGGTTAATTTGGAAATCGTCTGCATATTAGTGATTGTGGGAGTGATAAATGGTGTCAGGAAGGTCATTAATATAAATGGAGAAAAGGAGCGGAGAAAGTGGGGAACCCTGAGGAACACCTCGTGATAATTGAAGAGACGAAGAAGGAGATTTGTTAGGAACAACAACTTTCTAGGAACGATGGGATGAAAAGGAGAAGACCCATTTTAGGACATTATTTGATATGAGCAGGCTTTGGAGTTTAGAAAGCAGGATATTATGATTGACAGTATAAAAGGCTTTTATGAAGTCAAAAAGGACTAGGATGGAGATTTTCTGTTGTTCTAAGGATAACTGGAGGTCTTGGGCAATCTTTAATGATGCAGATTGTGTGGAGTATTGGGAGCAAAATCTGGATTGTAACGGATTGAGGAGACAATTTTTCTCGAGAAAGTTATTTAAATGACAGTGAACAAATCTTTCTAGAAGGCTTTGATAAAATGGAAATATGTTGTTACATCTTTCACCCTTCTCCCATTAATAATTGTTAACACAGTTTTATATAAGTATTTTAGGTAATATATTTAAAAATAAAATTCATCATGTCATAATAATCAATTCACTTTTATCTTGTCCTAGTTAATGTGGGGATGTGGGGTAGGATAAGGGTTTTAAGGCGATAAATTACGAGATTATTATGCCCACCTAGTTAAGGTTAAACCAATTACAAGGAGAAAACATTTTTTAACTATGCCTAAAAAGATAATTTTGCTTGAAATTCGTCACTCTCTAAAATTTGCTGCCCATATACATTAATCCCCTTTACCATTACTCCTAGTTCTGGCCCATGGTATGATAACTGTTGTAACTTGAGTGGATTGGAAATTCTGGGAATATATTGTTATTCTTAAAAATAGAAACAAGTTAGAATATAACACATTTTTATTTTTAACCCAACCATATCAATATATTGAATAATACTGCCATTAAAACAAATGATTCAAACGTATAGTTATTGTTAAGGCTATAACAATAAGCATCCTTACTTGACAAAACCATTCATAAACCAACTTGCCAATTTGAAGTTCACTTTAAAAAAAAAAAAAAAAAAAAGGATAGGAAATACAGAGCGTCCTTTCCAAAGGACTACCTATCTGTGGAGAAGGAACGTTGTGTGATCATCCACTCTGAGAGTGTTAAAAATTTGATGAAACTGAGTGTACAATTCTACGATGATGCAGAATCCTCTGTCTCAAAATACAACAAATTCTAATGCCATTTAAATCTTACCTTCAGCATACGTGAGAAGAAATTTGTGAATCTTGGGTTTTTCTCTCCTAAACAATAAATGAAGAGAAATTCAGTGTAACCAAAATGTTTGATCTTAATACTTTCACTTACTGAACTCATTCAGTAAATACCTACGGTAGTTCTCATTCCACATTATCTCTGAGTAATATAGAATAAAATAAAACTAATATTAAATTTATATAACTTCATTAAGATGTGCCTTTTATCCTTAAAATATTACATGCTTTTTTCATAAATTATTAAGAGAATTTAACTTCCTTCCATAATTTATTAGTCCATTATTCACACTTCATTTATATTATTTAACACTAAGGCTATAATAATAATAAGGCTCTTAGCCCCATCATTACAATAAAATTTTTCTGCAATAAATCATAATAAGTAATAATATGAATTCCAATCTTAATTTGTTACAATTTTCCCCATAACAATATTATGATTGCATTACTCATTTGAATAAAATCAAATCTTACAACTTAAGTTAATATAGGAGTGTCTTATCTGCTTTCTCTTTCTTGTTACCTGTTCTAACTTAAGTTTTGGCATTTTGTTGTTATACTTCTTGACAAATAATTACAAATAGGAGCAAACATATCATAAGCAAAAACATTAAAGTAGAGTAATTATAATTTTAATACAAATTAATTTTTATATGATGTCAGTAATATAAATATAAAATATATTCCTCCTTATCATTATATGGTGATATAATACTGCTCTGTATGGAGTATTTCCTATTATAAACAAAATTCTTCTTCCTAATTTTGAATTTTTTATTAAAATATAATAATAAGGATATCTGTGTTCTTCATCTACACAATTGAATTGAGAAGGTAACAAATTTATTTTCCCATATAAAGGTGTCCCAATAGTAGTAAAATATCATAAGCAAACCCATTATAGAGTATCATATTAAACCCATTATAAAGCTGTCACACTTTTGGTCTGTTAAATAAATAGTTAAATAAGTTTTGTTTTCTTGGCAAAAATGTATATGCATCATTGGTTGACATTTAAAAATAATGCAATGAAAATAAAAAATAAGCAATTTTTATTATAATAAAGTTTAACATTTTTACAATAAATTTAGTAAGATAAAAATCTGGTAACTTCCATTTCTGACTGCTGTATTTCAGTATTTATGTTTTCTTCAATTTCTGAAATTAAAAAAAAAAAAAATTAAAAACATCTCTGTCATGTCCCCTTGCCTTCTCCCCTCCAAAAAAGTATTTAATAATTCTTAGTGAACTCACTGATTCATTGCTAATACCAGCGATCTTGGCCTAAAATTGCTTGACTCAACCATTTGAAAATTTGAATAAAAAAAAAAAACTTTCTTCCTGCTCAAGTCTAGACCGTTTGACCAAACTGAGTATTTTGCAAAACATGAGCACCAAGCATCTCTCACCTTTAAGCTGGATTGTATTTATTCTTACTTTGTCCCATAGGCGGATCTATGGGAGGAGGCTATCGGGCTGAAGTCCCCTCTCCCTCAAATGGTAAAATATATCCATGTTTTACGAAACAAATATTAAAACATTATATCTAAAAAGTTTTGTTGTTCATTAATTACATTCAATAGGACCTTAAAAATCATTTAAACGCCATTTCTTATAGGTAATTAGTTTCTTTCTTTTTCTTCCAGAGTAATTATCGTTTTATATGTATAAAAAAAAAGAAGCTTTCAGGCTGAAGTCCCCCAAAATTAATTCCTGGATCTGCTTGTGCTTTGTCATTATGTAGATCTAATCTTTAAGTTTTAATTCTTTTCATCTCTGATAAAAACATTTACAGGTATTCTTCATCAAACCATATTTAAAACAAAAATGATTTCACCCTTTCAACCTCTTAGATCAGAGGTTCCCAGAGGTTTTTTATTGACGTTTTCTAACCAAATTAATTGAAATTTGAACAAACACATATGTTAACATGATCATTGTTAAATTAAAAAACATTCAAAAGAACGATTTATAATGGTGTGAAGATGGTCGAACGTGATTTGCAATTTGATTGCAAATTGCAACCAGCAATTTGAGAAGGAGTTGGTTGGGGGTGCAGTCAGATACAATACTATATATTAAAATAGTATTTTATTATTTATGCCGATGTTTCAAACCACCTTCTGGGTCTTCATCAGGGTTACAAAAGATACCAATTATAATGATATACTATACATATACTTTATATAAATATACAGTATATACTATGTACATACATTTATATCCTATGTATATAAATATTCTGTAATATTCTATGTAATATATACTAATAGCATAAAATATACTATGAAACAATTCATAGCTTTTGTACATTTTTTGTTTCATTATAAATTAGTGTCAATTTTTATTATATTATTTTATTATATGAACCTTTCAGTTGACAGAATTAACTCCAATTTCAATATTTTTTATTACTAATTTTATTGATATTTATGGTGGAAAAAATTATACCTTTGTTCATAGTTTTATATTTCAACACTGGAATCAACTTACTGTCTGTACAGATATTATAAATTTTCTAACTAGAAATATCATTAATATAACTTTACTCAAAAATTTTGAAATTGGAATCAGTCATTATGCCAACTGAAAGGTTCATATAAGAAATGATAAATCCATATTATCTACTTTTTTTAGTAAATTTCTGACAATGTCATCTCAAAGTTTTCTTTTTGATGTAAATTTGCTTTGACAAATACAAATATAGCATTTGTGTGTAATGATTGTATGAATGTCTGTGGTAATGGTGTAAAGTTATTTTGGTAACTGCAATTATAGAATCCTTTTAATATAATAAAGGCTTTATTATTTTTAAACTCTGTATTAGTAGCCTTTTTTTTTTTATTATAAATAAACAGATATACAAATCAACATACATTAACACAACTCCTCCCATACTACATTTCATAATTTATGATTAAGAATCATAAATTCAAAAACAGTATTATTACCTATGTTAAAAAACTTCCTTTCTGAAACTGAAACCAAATTGATCACACTTCAGTCTCAAAATCCTTGCCAACTGTGGTGGCCCACAATAAAAAACAGTGACTTTTCCTTTTTTCTGATCCAGTAGTTGCTTGAATACTTTATCCCAATTAGGTCTTCCTGCATTTGTTCTTGTTTTTAAACCTGTTATTAGATCTCTTTTTTCCTGATTAAAATAAATAGATTATTACTTCAAGAAGTACAATAAAAAGAGATTTATCAAAGAAAAGATACTGCTTAATTATTATTATTATTACTTTTTCATGAAGCAAATCCAGTGCTAATTGTAACCCTACAGCTTTCATATCTGTTTTTTGTAAAGCAGATGTAATATACATATGCATTTCCAAAAATCTTTCCATAGCTCCTCCAAGTTCAGCTTGTTCAATTTCTAGTTGAGACAATAAATTTACAAACCATTCAAAAGATCTTTGATCTCTGTTAATCCAAAAGAAGTCAACCTAAGAGAATAAAAATAAAAATATTTATAAGCAACAATATTGTTTGTATATCAGTAATTTCAAAATTTTATGTAATTGGATAATAATAGGGTCAAATCACAATTGAATGCAGTTAAATATTGTTTTATCACAATATAATCTGTTGGAAGCATACTTATCATTCATTGTTAATAATATTGTATTATATACAGTCTAAATAACAAACTTAATGATTATAATTTTTTTAAATATATTAATCAAATGGATGTTTTTTTACATAATAAAATAATTTAAATAATTATTTTAAAAACCCAAAAACATTTGTAGAGGCCAAAAATATTGTAAATTACAATATATATTTTCTGGTTATATTATAAAATGGATACCTGCTAATAAAACATCACTATTTAGGCAAGCTGTAGGGTATTGTGTTTTGTATTATAGAAGAAATACTAACGGTGGAGGGGGGGGGGGGAGAGGTTAAATATTCATTTTATGAAAGACTTGAACAATCAAAATATTTTTTCTTTTTATATTATAACATATGTACTTCAGTAACTAAATATCAAGAAAAATATAAAATATTTATCTCTGAAAACTTTATTATTTCTGAAATTACTGTTAATAAAACAGAAAAAATGATTGTGCTGATTTTTGAGATATTGAAGATATGTAAAAGAAGAGCATCAATTGGCAATATTGGAATATTGGAATTCAGCTCCAGTACTGGATGACGGCATGATCTATGTCAATGATATAGATCTAAAAGCAGATTCCCAGGGGACACTCCAGTCATAGTTAGTCGAATAGAATGAAGAATTAAGATTAAGAGAGTTACAGATTAATCCAACTAAAATCAATTATGACTTTCAGATTGCAAAAACAATGATAGGCAATTAGGAAGTTACTAGAGAGGAAAAACGTCTGGCTGTTTAAATCTATGTTCCACTCATTAATCCTTCATGGATATGAAAACTAGACAATTCTCAACAATCATATAAGCAAGATCACATTGGCTGAAATGAGATTCCTCTGAAAAACAGTTAGCAAGACCAAGAGAGACTGCATCAGAAATAAAAGAATTCATAAAGATTTGAATTGAGTTTCCCATCGGTTTGTGATATTCTGGAAGAGTGGCAACTAAAATGTTTGGGAATGTTCGTAGAATAGATGATATCTGAAAGACCAGGTGGTACTTGGAAGGAAGATGAGAAAGAAAACGTCCTTGCGGCCAAACCCAGGTATATGAGTATGTAATCATATGTACTCTGACTGTATAGGAAAACTGGGAACAGCAAGAGTTCCTCTTGCACCATCTCGGAGATGAGAAGACTAGCCAGGAATAGAGACCAGTGGGGCTAGGCAGACTGGGTCTGCAACTCATGCTTAACGCCACATAGAAGTTAAAGAAAAAAGAAGAAGGTTAATGCTGGAACCTCAATGAGGTAAATAAAAAAAATGACAGGCTAGTTCACAAATCAAAATAAAGCTAAGATGAATTATCCATGATCAATCAATCATTTGACACATTTTTTTGCTGAAAGGGTATTTGGGAACCAGATATTTATTTATTATCAGTTTCAGTACTTTTAATTTTTAATTTAACTGTTATTACATATTTTTGAGAATCAAATTAAAATATAACTTAATAGTTCATGATTAGTATTAGATATGAAACTTATATACCTTCCTTAGGTGCATCACAGTTGGTGGTATTTCACTGACCCATGCATGTTTACAGTTTGGACAACAATGCCTTGCTTTCCAGTAACGATGCATAATGGATTGCAAAATTGAAGCAAATGGAGTCACTCCAATACCTGTAGCAATAAGCACAGCATGTTGAGCTCTAAATATATGGCTTGAAGGGGCTCCATAAGGACCATCAAGATAAATCTAAAAACATGATAATTTATATTTATAATAATATGTAAAATATTTTGGAAAATTTAATAACAAAGAGACAAAATATAATATAATTAAATCAATTTGAGCCTAATAAGATGAATTTTATAAAACATTAAGAAATCAATGAGTTTAAAAACAACTTTCTGGTTGCTCTGGCTCACTCATATGTATTTCATGTGAGGTTATAATTGCTGTAATGCAGTTAATAAACAAAGCATATAAATAAACAGAAAAATGTTTTTTTATTGGTAATAAAAGTTAATAATAATAAAGTAATAAAACACTGAAACTTCAGTCACTAGCATATGAATTACAGTAGCTGTAGTTATTATTTGAGTATACTAAAGAATTATGATTATTAAGCTAAATTTTGTCGGAATGAATCATAAAATCCTTGGATATGCAGATGATATAATAGTCCTTGGAAGCAATCAAGAGTACATTGAGAAACTTGATAAAACTCTGAAAAGAGAAGTAAAGCAAATTGGTCTACATGTAATTGAAGGTAAAACAAAATATACGATAATTACATTCCTCTACTTAACCTCAATAACCATCCCATCCATTTTTTCCCTACAGTCAAAAACCTAGGAGAAACCTTAGACCAGAACTTCTCCTGGAATAACCATATCTCCGAGATTACCTGAAAATCCATAATTGCCCTTAAACAACTCCTAAGATTCCGTGATTCTATTCCTCTAAAAACCAAACAGCTCCTTGTAACCTCCCTTATATTCCTCTACTTCTACTGCCGCTGTTTGGTGTTTGGAGGGCTATCTGCCAGGCAAGAAATGGGACTGAAGAAACTCATGAACTGTTTCATAAGATACATCTTCGGGATCCCCAGGCGTTCACATGTTTCATTCTGGTAAACCGAGTTGAAGTGGCTTTATCCTACTTCCCAATGACAATTCCTCCGTGGTGTTTTCCTTTTCCAAGTCTTCAGAACCAAAAACTCTCCCTACATCCTGGAACTCCTTACTTTATGTTCCTCTATCCACTCTCTTAATACCAGATCTCAACCTATAGACTTAAATATTCCCTCCCATAAAACTTCTTCCTTCAGCAAATCCTTTGTCATTCGTGCTGCTTCCTTATGGAACTCTCTTCCTACCTCCATACGTCAATCCTCATCCACAAATTCCTTCAAACAACTCCTGTTCCACTACCTACTCCACATTCAAACTTCCACAAACATGTAAAATTACTTGCATCTGTACTCTGTTTAATTTCAATCTACTGCACAATTGCAATAACAATTAACAGTTAATTAGTTTGTATTTTTTATTATTCTAAGTCAGACTACAACTCATAAATTTGTAGCTCTGTTATTATTGTTAGGGGACAGTAGTCCCAGAATAAAATTATTTTTTCATTTCATTTTTTTTTTTTTAATAAGTGGAAAATTGCATCCCAATAACATGATTTACATAGAAGGGAAATCGTTCCCGAAATTAGACAAATTCAAATACCTCGGATCCACAATAACCGCAATTAATGATCAATGGTCGAAAATAGACCAGTACATTACAAATGCAAGCACAGCTTTTTTTTTCAAATGTATTGAAATTCCGAAAAATCTTAAATTATGGGTGTAAAGTGCTGTGATAATATCATATACAGCTGTAAGACCTGGACCCCAACACCCTAGAAATAATTATTGAAAGATTTGAATGAAAAATAACTCTGCACAATAATCAGAATAATCTTGGACCAGAATACTAATGCATGGAGATGAAAGACTAATAAAGAGCTGCTTATTAAAACTGGTCAATCAATATAGCATGACATGAAGGCAAGGAGGTTGAGATGGGCATGGCTCTGAGCAATCCATCTGGAAACCTCTACACAACAATGAATGCCTCAGCAGAAGGCAAAAGACCACATGGAAGGACAAAAAATTGATTGATAGATTGAATCAACAAAGATGCAATAGAGCTGCATGCTGATAATTGGAAAGAAATAGCCTAAGATAGGCAGAGATGGAGATGGATGATTAAGTAGGGGAAAGATCTACAAGGTCTGTAATGCCAACAGAAAAAAAAGAAGTTTAATTTTATTTAAATATTATTTTCACCGAACAAATATCTTTATTAAATCTCAATTTTTCAAAAAAAAAAAATTTTTTTTAGTCATGCTATGGACATCAAGTATTTTTGTAATTTTAATATTTTAATTGATGATGTGTTATTATTTACTTAATAATAACATTAAAATTAGAAAAAAAGAAACAGTTAATAAATGCAATCGCTGGTATCTTATGCTCTATTGGACTAAAGAGTTTCACAAGACTCATACACTGTTTCACTAATTCAGAACTCGAATACAAACTTAAATAAATGATTAAGGTAAGCTAATAAAGTGTCTACCTCTAATGGTTTTCCTACTGGATAATTAACTGATGAATGGGGTTTATTGCCATCCATCTTGTTTTCTTCTTCTCTATTAACTCGGCCCTCTTCCATAGCTCTTTCAACACTCCCAAAAAGTTCTAAGTCCTATTTATTTTTAAATAAGAAAAGTTTCATATTAGTTTTAGTTAAAATTATTAAGAATGATTGACAGTGTTAATAATAGAACTTCAAATGAGTCAATTAATGAGTTAATAAACAATCTACAGTTAAATTATGTGCTAATTTAATAAAAATCTAAATAGTATAACTAGTCATAAAAGATTATTTCAACAATTTCTACAAGATAATAATGGTCTCCATGTTTTAATCCAATCAGATAAATTTACTCAAATAAAACAGTTTTTATGTTTACTACTGGAGTTTAACATAAATATATTCTCGATATAAAAATTTGGTGACAAATATAAATAATTGTAGATTAGATATAAATGATCTATTTTGTTGCAGTATGCATTATGATTGTCTGAGAAACAAAATTATTCCTTCTTATTTAATTTTCTTATCTTATTGAAAATGTTGAGGAGAGTACCTAAATGAATAAAGAGGCATTGGACTCATTGGGTTCAGGTATCTATGATACATTCTTTCCTCTTTAGAGGGGTTACGCAAAGCTCCCCAAGGCCTGAGCTTTCAGAGGAATAAGACTAACTAAAAAAATGTATAGTCAAAACTTTGCTAAATAAATAAACATAAATAAAAAAATCGTTTTAATCTATGATAAATTATATAATGTACTTTTATCAGATCCTGATAATATAGCCTAATTTATAAATATCTATCTTGTTTATATTTGAAAGAAAAAATAAAGTGCCCTTTGAGACTAGCTGAATAGGAATATTGAATTTTGACCCAATGATTAAAACTATTTCCGAAAATAAGGCAAGATTGTAGTGAATAAATGTTGTAAATAAAAAATAAAAAGCTCGTCTGGACTTATTATGAACTGAGTTTCGTTCCATATATCAATATTATAAAAATAAATAAAACACATTGGAATATTGAGAGAGAGGAGCAGTCAACACCTTGGACCTATGCTCAGCTGACAAATGTGAATAAACAGGGGTTTTCAAACATTTTTTAGAAAAAGGGCTGTAATGACTCCTAATAAATATTTGATTCTTGTAGGATCAATATACTCTAGAGTATAAAAGGATCAATCATCATCACGCCTTAAACCTTAAAATTTAAAGCTAAATTCTACCATAAAAAACTCCTCTTTCTGGACATGCAAACAAAAGGAAACTTGTAAATAATTAGATAAATCAGAAATGCTTAAAACAAAAAGAATGAATTTATATTTCAGTCAAATTGTGATGCAAGTCATTACTAAATTGATATAATTGATTATTTTTATTATGAAAATGATGTAATTGATTTACAATTAGTATAATTTAGTTATAATAATTAATGATAATTTGAAAAATACTGTTTCAATGATTCTGAATATGTTATTATCTATTCATCTAATTTTTAAAGTAAATTTCTACATGTGTTGACAATAATGAAATCAAATATAATAACCTGTTTGTTAAGAACAGAAAGGGCAGACATTTTAGCTTCACAGTTTTCAAGACTTGGTGTTTTAAAAGCAATAATAGTAGGTTTGTTTCTCATATATCTGAAACTTTGTGCAAGTGACTTGTTCTGAGGACTTAAGTAAGCTAATCCTAATGACTGAAGTCTTGCACGTCGTATTTGACATTCATCAAAACTCTTTTCTGATTCAGATCGTGCATATTCTCTTAAACTTGAAGGAAAAACAAAGAAAAATATCTATTATTGTTAAATATAATTTATTCACACACACTTATATACAAAACGTAAGTATATAGAAACTTATTTATTCACGATAGCATTATTAATGTATTTATATTTAAGTAATGAATGATACATACACCAGTAATCGTTGTCGTTTCTTTGTTCGGTTGTCCATATCAGGCATAGAAAGTGATTTAGATAATGGTTTTTTATGAAGCAGCATGAAGTGCATTTTCTTTGCTGGATTAAGCTTTCTATTAGAAAGATTCACTGCATCTGTAACAATAGGATTATTCAAGATGTTTTATAAATTTAATACAATTTTTTCCCACAAATTAATTACTAAAATACTTTTTAAACAAAAAAAAATCTGTTAAAGAAACTTTTATTATTAGTAAAGACTTGATAGACTTCATATTAAAAAACAAAAATGCCTTTTATTTGTTACAATATTTTAAATACATTTCAACCCCATTTAAGATATAACATCTAAAATTTATCAAATTCTGAAAACAAATATTTACTATTAAATTTAATTAAAGACAATACCTTTATTATCCATATCAATTTCTGGTTAGAAAAAATTAATTAAATTTATTTAAAATATATACATTTAACAAAATCAATGAACATATGTTTGTGTTGGTATAGCTAATGATTTTCTTTTATTTTGCAATATGAAAAAATCTCATTTTAAAAATGAATTATTGGCTGTAGATACATTATGACTAAATAAGATATTAATAATTATCATATGTCTCACAATTATAACTTTAGATAACTAGTTAATTAGTTAACCGTTTGAGGATTAACTCATACAGTTCTTACAATATGACATATTCTTATAATATATATACAGTATATATGTGCAAAGTTTTCATTAACAATTTCTTCCCTCTTTCAGTCCTAGAATTTCTTTCAACTTTTTATTATTCTTTTTTATTATTCTTTTTATTATCACACTCACATTAAGGGTGTACAATGCTATGATAAAGCCAGTTCTGATATACTGCTAGGAGACCTGGACACTGATGAACATCCTAGAAAGAAGTATTAAAAGATTTAAGAGATTCTTTACACAATAACTGCAACAATCTGGGTGGGATCAACCACTTAAAGAAAACGAACAAATAAAAATTTGCTTACAGAAAATGGCCAACCAATATCTTATGATATGAAGGCAAGGAGGTTAAGATGGACAGGACATGTAGCTCAAAGCAATCCATCTGGAATCTTCTACACTACAATGAGTGCCTCAATAGTTGGTAAGAGGCCAAAAACCTGATGGATAGATGGACTTAACAAAGATGGGTCATAACTACATGCAGAAAACTGGAAAACAATAGCCCCAGATTGGCAGAGATGAAGAAAAAAAAAAGAAACATTAGTTTCAACTTAGTGAAGTTGGAGGTTAGCCCTTGCATTGCCAATTATTCATGTACCAGCAATAGGAAAGGAATTTTCAATTAAAAAATTCAAGATATTTTTCTATTTGTTTCTATCTCCTGGTTATCTTAAAATGTTTGCAATATTTTGCCTGTATTACTATTAAAAAACGCTAGAAAATATCATTTAGGAAATTTATAAAGAGGAAAGGGAGCTATGGAATATACACAGAAATGTGTACAGTGAGTAAGAAAATTGAGCAGTCTTATATTTATATATTTGAAAGAAGGGTCTTGCAGGGCATATTTGAAGGAATTTAGGTTAAAGACAATAGTAGCAAGCTGGATATCGTCTATGTTAGCGAACGTACGGTACTCCAGTGTTCATGTGTTCGCTGAAGGAACAAGTCATTTTTTGCATTTATATAAGATTAACAAATTACAATAAATTAAATTAATTTATGGCTTATAATTAAGCTATTAATATAATTAATTTAATATTGACGTAATTAATTTATATTAATATGATTTATATTATCAATTTATGAACAATAAATGTATCAATATTTACAAACATTTTGAATAGAGATTAGCAAAAGACATTTTTCGTCCGTCCACTCAATTGCACGATGTTACACAGTGTTACAGATAAGTGCTCACAACTGACTGTAGCCTGTCCTTTGCTTCCTTTGAGTTTGGGCAAAAACCGACTGCCATCGGTGCGCTCTATTATGTTCATAAACTGCTACTTGCTCAGAGTGCAGAACATTCACCTAACAGAAGCGCAGAGCACCCTAGGAACATAGTGGATACCCAGCTGTAGAAGAACAAATCAGGAAGTATATGCTTTATAAAATGGCCCTAAGATTGCAATTTAAATACAAGCAGGTCAGCTATATTTAGAGTTATCTTGACTATGAAATGCCTACCTCACAATTGTCAAAAAAGATTCTATAAAGAGAAAGGAGGAGGCAAGGAGGCATAGAAGGCCAAAACTACAATAAGAAAATGATGTGGCCCATGATGACCTAGCCCGATGCTAAGTGGGTGGAACTGGAAATTTGCAACACATAACAGATTTTTATATTGCAATATATAACAGATATTGCAACATACTGGTGAAGGCTGATTTTGTAGACCATGACTCATTAACTAAATGGTTGTAGCACCTAGGAAGAAGAAGATTATTATCATTATAGGGTTGTAAAAAATGTATTTAATTAATATATGGTCAGGAATCATTACAATATTCAAATGTATCATTTTAATTTGTGACTTGGGATTAATGTCTGAAAACATGAGACCAGATTTCCAGAATGGAGTTGCCAGATTGAGCTGGATACACTGGCAAATCTTTTCATCCAAATAAAGAACAGAAAGTGTCAGTATCTCTAGCTTAATTTGCATTTATCATTAAGAATATCTGATCCTAAGTTTTCAATTTTGAGATTTAAAGCACCATATTTTATGTAGTATCATATTATGATCCAGTGACCTCAAAAATCCCCTAACAGTGAATTTCCAGCAAACTAACCGATCAAATTTGTTTGTAGTCATACTAAATCTACCATTTTAATTTTTTAAATTCTGATTCCAAAATTGTAACTAGAAAAAAAAAAAAGAAAACAAAGAAAAAACATGGGTACTGACGCTCATAAAACTTTAATGGATCCCTTAGCTTCTAATTAAATAATTAAATTTTTCTCAACATATTTTTTTTTTGTATTTGTATTTGTTAGTAAGTGCTTCAAATGATTCCTAGATACATATTCATTGTTATAAATTGGGCACCTTAAGCTGTCTTACCAAAAATTGTATAAACTGATATATATAATTTATAACCAACTGTTATTGCACTAAAGAATCATTTATATAAACAGTAACTTACCATTACTTGCACTAATTGGTTTCAAAGAGATATCACTTTCTGTTGAAGAATGTATATTTTCATTACTGTTGAAACCTTCATTTGAATATCCATCTTGTATTCTATTAAAACTATCAGAATGACTAGAGCTGGGATCTTTGTTTGCAAATTTTTTTCTTAATGAGCTAAAATTTAA